CGGCGGGCCGCTTGGCGGGCCGCCCGTCGCCGAGGGCCTGGCGCCAGCTGCCTGATCAGGATTAGCCCTGGCAGCCCTGAGGTGAGCGTGCCTACGCACCCAGTGCCTCCTTCTTCCTTTCTTCACTGTTGTTGTTTGGAGGTTTTGGGGGGGGTTTGTTTGTTTGTTTGTTAGTTTTGCTTTTTGTTGCACACACCTCCATGTGTTGTCGCTCTTGGACGGGCTTGCTCTATCGTGCAGTCGCATCTGTGAGACGTGTTTTTGTCATTTACGTTTTAAAAGTAATATTCTGCCATATGTTGTTTGAATTGAATTTAAACAGATTGCACGAGTGTAGTCCCATCCTGCCAGGGGAAAAAAAAAAAAAAAAAAGACAAAGTTTCCATCCCAAAATATTTAGGGCTCCTAAAAGGTATATGAACAACATTCATGTTTCGTGTTTTCTGTGCCTGAAGTACAAAAGCAGACGTTCGATAACTTGTATCCACATGAGTAGACTCACTGAAAGAGTCCTAGGGTAACTAGGGGGCTCAGGTAAATAAAGCCTGTAATATTAGGCACAGGTTGTTAAGCCTGATTGCTTCTCGTAAAGCACCCATAAGACTGATGTACATGAGAAGCCTTTGGCTGCAAAAGCAACTGCTAACCTACCTCATTGATGTTATTTTGGAAAGCAGTACTGCCAAAGGTGAAGTGTTTTGTTTTGTTTTTTTAATTTAATTTTTTTTTTAATCTGTGTCAGGCTTTTAAGTTAAAGCTTGTATAGCAGCTAATTGGTGGAAGTTATATATTTTTCTAAACCCAATATTGCAGAAAAGCTAAAGATCTGGTGGGATTTGTTGATGAAAGAACAAATTCAACCTCAACATTCTTATTTCACTTTCAAATTGTGTGTAGTTACTTCTTTTATATATTGTTTTTTAATAGGAAGAGAGAAAGTGGATGAAATTATAATATAATTGGTTAACTAGTTTAGTGGTGGGACACGTTGAAAAAATTTGAGTTTTTTAATATTCAGTCATGGGACTTGTTGTTCAGTGCTTATGCTAAAAGATTACAAATGTGCTTACAGCATCGGAAGATTATAGTTTCACAGACTGACAAAGACATTGATACTGGTACATTTGAGCATCATTTTGGAAGGATAGTTTGCAATTATGTAGTTAAAAGAGTTAAGTTGGGGTCATGACTCTCAGTCCTTAAGAACGGCATAGCCGTAATATTCAAGGTTTTCAGGCTCCCCAAATAGTTCTAACGTGTTTTTGCAGAAGTACAAAGTTAGTGAAACCACTTTACACCTGTTGAGGGACAGCTGGAGAGTTTAGTGACTGGAATTAGTCCAGCAGTATTACACAACAGCAACAAACATAAATCTCATATTTAGCTGCTTACTTTCCAACCCAGAAATAAGTTTTATTCATTTTTGTGGCATCATAAAAACAAGTTTTGGCTTATGTTTGGAATCTGTAAGTAATAGAACATAAAATCTGTCACTGCAATCTGTCCCCCACTTACAATTTTTGAGGTTTTTTTGGATCCTATTCTAACATTAGTGACAATGTTGTCTCCAGAGGTGTTTCTCCAGTACTATTCCATGAACTAGAATCAGAACTTTTTACTGGCAGTCCCTGATGGAGAAATTTGCCCTTAAGGTTATGAGAATGGCTTTTTAACAGTTACTGGTTTTGACTTTTGAATCAGGCATTTCAGCTTGTCTTCAAGCTGTGCTAGCAAATCAAGTATGACTTTTTTTTTTACATAGAGCTGTTTTGTCAAAGATAACGTACAAAGTGTTTGTAAGTTGTAAAAGACCATATCATACCATGAAAGATCTGGAAGATAGCAGAAGGCTTTGCTGCCAGGCAGTGCAAGAGGAAGAAGAATAAACCAGTGATGCAAGAAAAAATTACCATTTGAATAAATGTAAAAATAGTTTTCAGGCTCAGCTCCTTCATGAATCTGGCAAAAGTCATCCAGATTGTGGACATTTCTCAGAATATTGCATCTTCTTTGTTCGTGAAGACAGAACCATTAAAAATAGTGAGTTTTGCCACTGATAGGTGTAGGAATTGACATACACAACACATGAAGTTAGTATTACCAGAGTCTGTGTGTGACTCTGAGTCAGGGAGAGAGTAAGTCCTGTGGTATACTACCAGTTTAAAGACCAAAGAAGAGTTCTAAATAATGAAACTATAAATCTACCCTGAAAAAGAACATTTATTTGGAAGTTTCTTCGTGGTATTCTGCTGCCTGCTTGCACCATCAGGGTGTGTACATGCTATAGAGACTGTTCTTAGTATATCTGCATTGTGATCTTCCTGGATTCCTGAAAAGCCAGTAAGAACAATAAGGACAACAACAAAAGCCTTCTGGAGTTGTCAGCTCCTGTTTGCAGTTAAAGAAACAAGATCAGCTATTTGAAAACTGAAAATAAAACAGCTTCCTAAACAGAGAGAAGCATCTAGTCCCAAATTGCAACGCAAATGGAGAATGGGTATGGATGTCTTGGCCTGAAAACAATAGGATCATTGTGAAATTCTGATGTACGTGTTTATCTGAAACAAGACCAGTACCTTGTTTTGTTTAGAAATAAACTGTGTTGTACACTTCATTTTATACAAAGACACATCCGGAAATTGACCCAGGAGAGGTCCTCTGTATTTCTCCAGCAAGAAAAACAGTAAAAAATAAGAGAATGGTCTTTTGGGATTTCTTATGCAAGGTACAGGGAAATTTTCCAGTGCAGAAAGAAGTGCTAGGAAGTTAGGCACTGCACGAAATCACAGAGAACAATAGTGGGCCATTAGGTAATTGGCTGCAAATGAAGAATTGGTTTAGCCAGTTTGAATTAATTCTGTGTTAGTAGTCAGTGGAGATAGATGTAGCTGTCCTTCCTTCTCTCATGAGCTCTTTTCCATACTATTTTAGTTACCTGTTGTTAGACTCGTCTAAATTGCAGCTCCAAAGCAACAGACTTCTTATTAAAAACCACCCAAAATCTTCACAAGAGATGTGGAGGGCGAAGAAACGGAAAACCAAGGACAGGAGTAGATAAAATAGATCAGCAGCTGAAAGCTTAGTGCATCTGAAAATTGCCAGAAACATAGCAATGAGTGAATGAAATTCAGGAAGCACTGACAAGTAAAATGAGGAGAGGACTAGTCAGGATTCTGAGATACAGAATTCGTTTAGCAACATGCAGGCAGTTACCTGAGTAAGGACAAGGCAATTAGTTATGAGATTGTATTACTAAGTTTGAGAAATAGTGTAGTGTTTGAGAGAGAAAAACCCAACTTCCAAAAGGTATCAATTTTACATGACAGATTTAAAAGATGAAGAAATTGTGAAGCTCTATTAGCAATTTTCAGGCTGTTGAGGTACCTTGGGAGAGCTGATAGAATCTGTAATTCAGCCTCAAATTTTATTGGTGATCAGAGAGTGAAAAATGGGGAAAAAGTCTGGTAGAAGAAGCGTAAAGTTCACTTTAAAGATGATATTCTGGAAATTGCCAGGCTTCATAAATGAAGTTTATCAGATTGCAATTTTTGGAAAGAAAACGGAAAAGAAGATGTGCAAAGTAAAAATTACAAGGAGGAGATGAT